GTGAATGAGCAGTGCTCATATGCTTGTGGTGATTTCAGCCTCTACGGTCTCACTATATGAGGACATGAACTTCACTTTCGTCACTTGACCAGCATTTCACCATTTCATTTAAATTATCGTCATATATACACACACACACACACTCAAAAGTCAAAAAAGTTTGGTTTAATTTGAAGAAATTGTGACTGAAATATATTATTTTTACTATTAAAACAATATTTTTTTAAGGAGATCACAATTTTTTTCATTCATGTTTTAAACTGTGAACCTCTGTTGTGCAAGACTGAAAGCAATTGTTCAAATTCTATTTTAATACACTTTAAAACAAATGTTTCAGTTTTATGCATATATTTGATTAAAACTGTTTTTGATAATACATTTGTATGAAATTATAAAACACAGAATTTAGAAAAATTTGCCACAACAAATTAAACACTTCATAGCGCAGCACTATTATTGTTAAAATTTGATTGAATAATTAAACTGCTGAAGTTTTTTTGAGTTCAATTGTTTAGATCATGTTTTTTGTTTATTAAAATTTAAACCATTAAAATGGAATGGGAATTTGTGACCCTCTCTGTGAAATCCAGGCAAAAGTCTCAAAATCGAATTAGGAGATCACAAGCATCAAAGTTTGATTTCAACCATTAATGTCACTATAATTTCAATCTTTGACATGACCTTACTCAGTCAATATTAAAGATATAAAAGGCACGCACGTGATTCACAGATTAATTTGCCAATTTACACGTACAAGCAATTTTAAACCACAAGAAGAAATGAAAGGGCTCAATGTTACTCACGCGCTGTTCTCGCACACAATTAAAGCACGCACAAGAGACGCGTTTCAGACAGCATATACATACCTGATGCATACACACAAAATTAGCCTGTCAAAAACCCTTCACTGCATTGCCATTCTCTGTGCTTTAAAGATATTTTTTTCTTGCTTATCCGAAAAAATTGTCCGATCTGTGACTCAAAAAACAAACAAACAATATAACGCATTGAACCACTATATAATGCTATTATATATATATATATATATATATATATATATATATAAGGGATGCACCGATACCGATACTGGTCTCCTGTACTCGTACTCGTTAAAATGCCCCGATACCAAACGCTGATACCACACAGCATGTGATAAGCGCCATATTCAAACAAAGAAACACCAAC